ACAGCAATGTTGCCAGTGAAACAATGGAATGAACAGGCGGGTAAACTGCCAGGAAGTAAGGTCAGCTATAAAGTCAGGGGTTTGATTATATAGGGCCTTATAAGTCCAAGTTAGAACTTTGGATTTTCTTCTGGGTGATAAGAAGTTGATAGAAGATTAAGATCAAGGCAGTCTATGATATCATTTCAGTGTTTTTGTTTGTTATGGGGTTTTTTTTGTTTTTGTTTTTTTGTTTTTTTTTTTTGAGATGGAGCCTTGCTCTTGTCACCCAGGCTGGAGTGCAATGGCATGATCTTGGCTCACTGCAACCTCCGCCTCTTGAGTTCAAGCGATTCTCCTGCCTCAGCCTCCCAAGTAGCTAGGATTACAGGTGCCCCCCACCATGCCCGGCTAATTTTTGTATTTTTAGTAGAGACGGGGTTTCATCACGTTGGCCAGGCTGGTCTCAAATTCCTGACCTCAGGTAATCTGGCTGCGTCAGCCTCACAAAGTGCTGGGATTACAGGTGCCCGCCACCATGCCCGGCTAATTTTTGTATTTTTAGTAGAGACAGGGTTTCATCATGTTGGCCAGGCTGGTCTCAAATTCCTGACCTCAGGTGATCTGCCTGCCTCGGCCTCCCAAAGTGCTGGGATTACAGGCATGAGCCACCACGCCCGGCCTGTTTGTGGGCTTTATTGTTGTTTTTTTGAGACAGGGTCTCACTTTGTTCTCCAGGCTGGAATGCAGTGGCATGATTCACTGCAGCCTCCACCTCCCAGGTTCAGCCCCGCCAAGTAGCTGAGACTGCAGGCATGAGTCACCACGCCTGGCTAATTTTTGTATTTTTAGTAGAGACAGGGTTTCACCATGTTGCCCAGGCTGGTCTTGAACTCCTGATCTCAAGTGATCCACCTGCCTCGGTTTCCCAAAGTGGTAGGATTACTGGCATGAACTACTATGCCCAGCCATGATTTATGCTTTATAAGGATCACTCTGGCTACTATGTAGAGAGTAGATGGTGAGGGTGCCTAGGAGAGATGGAGTGGAATCACTGAGGCAGATGGATGGTGATTATAGCTTGGACCAGGGTGTTAGCAGTAGAGGTTGTGAGGGGTACTCAAATTCAAGATACCATATTTTGTGGACTCTAAGACTCCACTAATTTTAAGATACACTGTGGCAGTTCTAAAACATAGCCCCAAATTCTTTGACACTCTTCTTTTTTGTTTTTTGGGGTTTTTTTTGGAGACGGAGTCTCGCTCTGTCGCCCAGGCTGGAGTGCAGTGGCACGATCTCAGCTCACTGCCGGCTCCGCATCCTGGGTTCACGCCATTCTCCTGCCTCAGCCTCCTGAGTAGCTGAGACTACAGGTGCCCGCCACCACGCCTGGCTAATTTTTTGTATTTTTGGTAGAGACAGGGTTTCACCATGTTAGCCAGGATGGTCTTGATCTCCTGACCTCGTGATCCGCCCGCCTCGGCCTCCCAAAGTGCTGGGATTACAGGCGTGAGCCACTGTGCCCGGCCGTGACACTCTTCTTATGGAGAGGTCAGGGGTCTGTGTGCCTTCCCCTAAAATTTGGGTGGGCTTATGACTGCTTCAAGCAGCAGAGTACAATGGAAGTGATGTGATGTGACTTCCGAGGCAAACTTTCGTCTTGCTCACTGGGTGCTATTGTCTGAATGTGTGTCTCCACAAAAGTCATATGTTGAAATCCTAACACCCAAGGTGATGGTATTAGGAGGTGGGGCCTTTGGGAGGTGATCGGATCATCAGAATGGAGCCCTCATGATCAATTAGTCCCTTTATAAGAGACCCCAGGGAGATCCCTCACCCCTTCTGCCCTGTGAGGTTACAACGAAAACATACTTTCTTTTTTTTTTTTGAGATGGAGTCTCACTCTGTCTGTCGCCCAGGCTGGAGTGCAATGGCGCAATCTTGGCTCACTGCAACCTCCGCCTCCCAGGTTCAAGCGATTCTCCTGTCTCAGCCTCCTGAGTAGTTGGGATTACAGGCGCGTGCCACCACACCTGGCTAATTTTTGAATTTTTTTTTTTTTTTTGAGACGGAGACTCGCTCTGTCGCCCAGGCTGGAGTGCGGTGGCGCGATCTCGGCTCACTGCTAGCTCCACCTCCCGGGTTCACGCCATTCTCCTGCCTCAGCCTCTCGAGTAACTGGGACTACAGGCACCTGCCACCGCGCCCAGCTGATTTTTTGTAGTTTTTTTTTTATTAGAGATGGGGTTTCACGGTGTTAGCCAGGATGGTCTCGATCTCCTGACCTCATGATCCACCCGCCTCAGCCTCCCAAAGTGCTGGGATTACAGGCGTGAGCCACTGCGCCTGGCCAGTTTTTGGATTTTTAATAGAGACGGGGTTTCATCATGTTGATCAGGCTGGTTTCAAACTCCTGACCTCGTGATCCACCCACCTTGGCCTCCCAAAGTGCTGGGATTACAGGCGTGAGCCACCCGCCCAGCGAGAAGATGCCTTCTATGAAGAAACAGGCCCTTACCAGAAACCAAATCTACTGGTACTTTATCTTCAATTTCCTAGCCTTCAGAAAGGTAAACTGTTGTTTACAGGCTACCTAATCTATGGTATTTTATTATAGCAGTCCAATTGGAATAAGAAGCTGGGATACTGGCCCTCAGAACCATGAGCTGCCATAATAGAGAGGCCATGTGGAGAGTCCACATGGAGAAGTTCCGAGAATATATAACAATAGATGATTGATAGATAGATAGATAGCCAGCCAGTGAGCCCCCAGCTATTCATGTCATCCCAACCAAGGAGCCAGACTTGAGAGTGACTCCTCTCCAGATGACTCTAGCCTCCAGCCCTTACAGTCATCCCAGCCATCAGCTAAGACTCCAGGCATTGTGAAGATGAGACAAATATTTCTTGCTGTGCCTTCTCTCAATTCCAGACCCACAAAACCTGTGAGCAAGGTAAAATGGTGGTTGTTTTATGCAGCTCAGTTCTCAAGTGGTTTGTTTGTTTGTTTGTTTGTTTTTGTTTTTGTTTTTGTTTTGAGACGGAGTCTCGCTGTGTCGCCCGGGCTGGAGTGCAGAGGCCGGATCTCAGCTCACTGCAAGCTCCGCCTCCCGGGTTTTTACGCCATTCTCCTGCCTCAGCCTCCCGAGTAGCCGGGACTACAGGCGCCCACCACCTCGCCCGGCTAGTTTTTTGTATTTTTTAGTAGAGACGGGGTTTCACCGTGTTAGCCAGGATGGTCTCGAACTCCTGACCTCGTGATCCGCCCATCTCGGCCTCCCAAAGTGCTGGGATTACAGGCTTGAGCCACCGCGCCCGGCCTCAAGTGGTTTGTTAAGCAGCAATAAATAATTGAAGCATATACCATTATTATAGCCACACAAAGAAAAACTCCACTAGTTTAGTCCTCTGAAAACTTCATCCCAAAATCAGAAATGTCAAGTGAAAAATGTGCCTCTTTGCCAGGCATGGTGGCTTACGCCTGTAATCCCAGCACTTTGGGAAGCCGAGGCAGGCGGATCACAAGGTCAGGCGATCGAGACCATCCTGCCTAATATGGTGAAATCCTGTCTCTACTAAAAATACAAAAAATTAGCCAGACGTGGTGGTGGGTGCCTGTAGTCCCAGCTACTTGGGAGGCTGAGGCAGGAGAATGGCGTGAACCCGGGAGGCGGAGCTTGCAGTGAGCTGAGATGGCGCCACTGAACTCCAGCATGGGCAACAGAGCGAGACTCCATCTCAAAAAAAAAAAGAGACGGCTGGGCGCGGTGGCTCAAGCCTGTAATCCCAGCACTTTGGGAGGCCGAGACGTGCGGATCACGAGGTCAGGAGATCGAGACCATCCTGGCTAACACGGTGAAACCCCGTCTCTACTAAAAATACAACAAAATTAGCCGGGCGAGGTGGCGGGCGCCTGTAGTCCCAGCTACTTGGGAGGTTGAGGCAGGAGAATGGCGTGAAGGGGGGGTGGAGCTTGCAGTGAGCCGAGATCGCGCCACTGCACTCCAGCCTGGGGCACAGAGCAAGACTCCCTCTTAAAAAAAAAAAAAAAAAAAAAAAGAAAAAGAAAAAGAAAAATGTGCTTCTTCAAACTAATGAAATACATAATGTTTTTAAAGTAGAGCCCTTGCCCTGCGCTGTGGCTCATGCCTGTAATCCCAGCACTTTGGGAGGCCAAGGCGGGTGGATCATGAGGTCAGGAGATTGAGACCATCCTGGCCAACATGGTGAAACCTTGTCTCTACTAAAAATACAAAAATTGGCCGGGCACAGTGGCTTATGCCTGTAATGCCAACACTTTGGGAGGCCAAGGTGGGCAGATCATCTCAGGTCGGGAGTTCGAGACCAGCCTGACCAACATGGGGAAACCCTGTCTCTACTAAAAATGCAAAATTAGATGGGTGTGTGGCGCATGCCAGTAATCCCAGCTACTCAGGAAGGCTGAGGCAGGAGAGTCGCTTGAACCCGGGAGGCGGAGGTTGCGGTGAACCGAGATCGTGCCACTGCACTCCAGCCTGGGCAACAAGGGCAAAACTCGGTCTCAAAAAACCAAAAAAATAAAAAATAAAAATACAAAAATTAGCTGGGCATGGTGGCGCATGCCTGTAATTTCAGCTGCGTAGGAGGCTGAGGCAGGAGAATTGTGTCAGGCCTCTGAGCCCAAGCCTGCAAGTATTTGTCCAGATGGCCTGAAGCAAGTGAAGAATCACAAAAGAAGTGAAAATGGCTAGTCCCTGCCTTAACTGATGACATTCTACCATTGTGATTTGTTCCTGCCCCACCTTAACTGAGCGATGAACCTTGTGAAATTCCTTCTCCTGGCTCAGAAGCTCCCTCACTGAGCACCTTGTGACGCCCCGCCCCTGCCCGCAAGAGAAAAACCCCCTTTGACTGTAATTTTCCACTACCCACCCAAATCCTATAAAATGGCCCCACCCCATCCCCCTTCACTGACTCTCTTTCCGGACTCAGCCCACCTGCACCCAGGTGAAATAAACAGCTTTGTTACTCACACAAAGCCTGTTTGGTGGTCTCTTTACACAGACGCGTGTGACATTTGGTGCCGAAGACCCGGGACAGGAGGACTCCTTTGGGAGACCAGTCCCCTGTCCTCGCCCTCACTCCGTGAGGAGATCCACCTATGACCTCGGGTCTTCAGACCAACCAGCCCAAGGAACATCTCACCAATTTCAAATCGGGTAAGCGGTCTTTTTACTCTCTTCTCCAGCCTCTCTAGCTACCCTTCAATCTCCCTGACCTTCCAATTGCAGTTCTTTTTCCTCTCTAGTAGAGACAAAGGAGACACATTTTATCGTGGACCCAAAACTCCGGCGCCGGTCACGGACTCAGGAAGGCAGTCTTCCCTTGGTGTTTTTTATTTATTTATTTATTTATTTATTTATTTATTTATTTTTTTGAGACGGAGTCTCGCTGTATCACCCAGGCTGGAGTGCAGTGGCCGGATCTCAGCTCACTGCAAGCTCCGCCTCCCGGGTTCCCTCCATTCTCCTGCCTCAGCCTCCCGAGTAGCTGGGACTACAGGCGCCCGCCACCTCATCCGGCTAGTTTTTGTATTTTTTAGTAGAGACGGGATTTCACCGTGTTAGCCAGGACGGTCTCGATCTCCTGACCTTGTGATCCGCCCGTCTCGGCCTCCCAAAGTGGTGGGATTACAGGCTTGAGCCACCGCGCCCGGCCCCCTTGGTGTTTAATCACCGCGGGACTCCTGCCTGATTATTCACTCACACTCTATTGGTGTCTGATCACCGCGGGGACACCTGCCTTGGTCATTCACCCACATTCCCTTGGTGGCAAGTCAACTGTGGGACGCCTGCTTTGGCTGCTCACCCACATTGCAGCCCAGGGCTGCTCACTACACCCGCTTCTCCATGTCTTTACTCTGTCTTTTCTCTGGGCTTGCCTCCTTCACTATGGGCAACCTTCCACCCTCCATTCCTCCTTCTTCTCCCTTAGCCTGTGTTCTCAAAAACTTAAACCTCTTCAACTCTCGCCTGACCTAAAATCTAAGCGTCTTACTTTTTTCTGCAACACCGCTTGGCCCCAATACAAAGTCGATAATGGTTCTAAATAGCCAGAAAATGGCACTTTTGATTTCTCCATTTTATAAGCCACTGCACTCCAGCCTGGCAACAGAGCTGGACGCCGTCTCAAAACAACAACAACAAACAAACAAGCAAACAAAAACAAAATAGAGCCCTTAGGATTTGTTGATGGATTGGATGAAAGACAGAAGTCAAAAGGTGAGAGTGGGGTTGACTCCAGAGATTTTTCATGAGCATCTGGAGGTATGGTGGTACCATTTCCTTAGCCGAAGAACACTGGGGGATTGAATGGGTCAGTGCTGACACATGGACAGAAAAGACTGCCCAATTTATGTGTGGGACTGAAAACAGCTCCCATATGGACTGCTTCTGGGTCTGGGTGCCCTCAGATCCATTCCCAGCCCTTCCCCTGGTCTGTCCTGGATCACAGCGATGCTGATCCTCAGGTATACTCCCTCAGTTCCTATGTCAGTTGGCTTTGGCTGGGTTTAGCCAATAGGAGGATGACAGTTGACTAGAGGATGAGAAGGGAAAAACCAGGGTATTCTCTCCTCCCTCTGCCTTGGGTAGCAACTCCCGTCTTCAGTAGTGGCTGCATCTCTTCCATGGCTCCAGTTACAGACCTGTTGTGGCTTCAGCTTCCAGTAGGTGACCTCAACCCCTGGGTTCAGGTAACATCACTTCCTCCCTTGACCCTCCAGCCTAGAAGTGGCAGCGGCTTCCTGCTCTAGCTGACCTCTTGATTCTATCACCTGTCCAACAAAATCCCCCCATTCAATTTCTCTGTTATAAATATGTGAAGTCATTTCTGTTTTCCTGGGTTGACCCTGACCATGGGACTATAGGCTGAGGCCTCATGTGAAAGCCTGCAGGCTCAGGTGAGAAGCAAACACCTTGCACAACCTCACCTGGTGCAGACGCCCAGGCTCCAGAGTGTTTACCATCCCCTCAGCCTCGGGATTTGCTCATTCCTGACCTGTGTGCTCATTGCCTCTGTTTGTCTATAATATGTGGTTTTCATGAATCCTTGGCAGTCTCCTTCTTCAAATCCTAGCTCAAACTAGCCTCTTCGAAGCCTTTCAGCGGTGACTCGCCTGTCCAGACTCCTGCCTGATGCTTTTCAGCACCCACTTTGCTTAATGTGCCCTTGTTGCTTGACTGTTGCATACTGTTTCCTATCTCTGTGCTTTGCAGACCGTCTCATCTACCAGGGCTCACGACTCCCTTCTCCGACTCCTATTCAGCCTTCAGAAACTACTTTCAGTGTCACATGTTCCGAGAAGTAAGTTTTTTCTGGCAGGTTCCCTCCCCAGACTGAGATGCACACTTCCACGTTTATGCTACCATCACAATTCTTGTGGACACTGCAATAATTTTGTGTGTGTTGGTTTCTTGCATAAAACTGCCAGCTCCTTGGAGGCAGGAGCTAAATCACAAACTCTGACCTGGGAACCAGAAGACTTTTTTTCTTCTTCTTCTTCTTTTTGAGACGGAGTCTCGCTCTGTCGCCCAGGCTGGAGTGTAGTGGCCGGATCTCAGCTCACTGCAAGCTCCGCCTCCCGGGTTTACACCATTCTCCTGCCTCAGCCTCCTGAGTAGCTGGGACTACAGGCACCCGCCACAGCGCCCGGGTAGTTTTTTGTATTTTTTAGTAGAGACGGGGTTTCACCATGTTAGCCAGGATGGTCTCGATCTCCTGACCTCGCGATCCGCCCGTCTCGGCCTCCCAAAGTGCAGGGATTACAGGCTTGAGCCACCGCGCCCGGCCCAGAAGTCTTCATTAACTCTTTGTTGAATGATGGCTGCTGGACACATGGATGACCACAGGTTTTCAATTACTGCAAGTGCCTTAGGTCTTCCTAGTTTGGTTACAAACCTCTTTGGGGTGATTCTTATGTAGCCTATTAGCACCTGTCTTGGTATATTATGGGGCAAGAGGAAATCAAAAAATGTCACAGATTGTTTCCCTGTCTACCTCCTTTTTGTTCTTTCTTTTTTTTTTTTTTCTTTTAAGGTTTCTTTTCATTTATTCATTTGTTTGTTTATTATTTATTTATTCATTTATTTTTTTGAGGCGGAATCTCACTCTGTCACCCAGGCTGGAGTGCAGTGGCACGATCTCAGCTCACTGCAACCTCCGCCTCCCTGGTTCAAGCGACTCTTCTGCCTCAGCCTCCCGAGTAACTGGGACTACAGGTGTGTGCCACCACACCCGGTTAATTTTTTGTATTTTTAGTAGAGACGGGGTTTCAGCGTGTTAGCCAGTATGGTCTCGATCTCCTGATCTTGTGATCCGTCTGCCTTAGCCTCCTAAAGAGCTGGGATTACAGGCGAGCCACTGCGCCCAGCCTATTTGTTTGTTTGTTTATTTAATAGAGATGAGGTCTCACTATGTTGACCAGCCTGGTCTTGAACTCCTGGCCTCAAATGATCCTCCTGCCTCAGCCTCCAGAAGTGCTGGGATTCTAGGCATGAGCCACCATGCCTGGCTTTTTTTTGAAGCTTTTATCTCTTCTTAAATTTATTTAGTTTCACTTAATTTTTTATTACCTTACCTTGTATGTTGAAATAATTTCAAATGTAGAGAAAAACTGTAATAGTACAAATAACCCCAATATATCCTTAACCTAGAGTCCCCAAATATTAACACTTTGCCCAATTTGCATTATCACTTCTTCTCTCCCATAGATTTATATATATATTACTATATCTTTATATTATATATATGTGTTACATGTACACAGTATGTATATGTTGGGATACGTAAATACGTGTGTATAAGTGTGAGTATATATATCTATACACACGTATACTATTTTTCTTGAACCATCTGGGAGTAAAGTTGTGGATATGACGCCCTTCTATTTCTCGAACTCATGACCTCATGTGATCTGCCCACCTCAGCCTCCCAAAGTGCTGGGATTACAGGCGTGAACCGGTGCTCCAGTGATGCCCCTTTATGTCTAATCACTTCCTTGTGCATTTCCTAAGACCATGGTCATTATCTTACATAACGAAAGTACAGTTCTCAAAGTCAGGAAATTAAATGTTGATATACTACCATTATCTAATCCATAGACTAGATTCACGTTTCACCAGTTGTCCCAAATCTGTCCTTTCTGGGCAAATTTGTTTCTCCCTTCCCAGGATCCAATCCATGATCACATGCTACATTCAGTTGTCAAGTCTCCGCAGTTTTCTTTTCTTTTTTTTTTTTTTGAGATGGAGTCTTGCTCTGTCACCCAGGCTGGAGTGCAGTGGCGCAATCTTGGCTCGCTGCAACCTCTGCCTCCCAGGTTCAAGCAATTCTTGGCCTCAGCCTCCCGAGTAGCTGGGATCACAGGCGCCAGCCACCACGCCTGGCTAATTCTTTTGTATTTTTAGTAGAGACAGTGTTTCACCATGTTGGCTAGGCTGGTCTTGAACTCCTGACCTTGTGATTCACCTGCCTCGGCCTCCCAAAGTGCTGAGATTACAGGCGTGAGCTACTTGCCGGGCCCAGTTTCCTTTCATCTGTAGCAGTTCTCTGGCCTTTCTTTGTCTTTCAAGACCCTGGTGGTTTTTTTTTTTTTTTTTTTTTTTTTTTTTTTTTTTTTTTTTTGAGATGTAATCTTGCTCTGTCACCCAGGCTGGAGTGCAATGGCACGATCTGGGCTCACTGCAACCTCCGCCTCCTGGGTTCTAAGTGATTCTCCTGCCTCAGCCTCCCGAGTAGCTGGGATTACAGGCGAGTGCCATCATGCCCATCTAATTTTTGTATTTTTAGTAGAGACGGTGGGGGGGGGGTGGTTGCCATGTTGGCCAGGCTGGTTTCGAACTTCTGACCTCAGAAGATCAACCCGCCTCGCCTCCCAAAGTGCTGGGATGACAGGTGTGAGCCACCGCGCCCTGCCATAAAGTGTTTAAGCGCCTGGCCACGACCCTGATATTTTTGAAGCATCTAGGCCAGTTGTTTCGTTTTCTCCCAGGTCTAAAAATGCCCCCCTACGATTTTACCTCTCACCACGTTGTTACAAACTCTCTTCTCCAGACTTAGGGGAGGGACTCTTTGCAGGGCCTTGTAAAACCTTAAATAAACTACACGAACAAATTCCACTTTGACCACTATCTTGTTAAAATTCCTTGAAAAAGTTAACTCATTGGGCCCAAAGTACCTTAACAAAAGCCAGGCTGTACTTCTCCTAGTATTCACTCTTCCTCAAAAGGTTTTATGTGCTGTTTAATGATTTTTCACAAATAGTTTTTCTTGCCTTTAAAGTTGGATTAATTGAATTTTAATTCAGCAGAATCACTCTCTAAAGAAAGAAACACTGACCATGCAGGTCGAGTTAGGGCCACTAGGCCTCATTAAGACCTTTTTCAAGCAGAAGGGATTCTGAGGGGTGAAAAATGCAGCCGTACGGCACCCTAAACTCACCTCTATTTTAGATCAAAAATTTTAAAGCCCCTCTTCTTTCAGAGCAAAGGAAAACCTAGTTGCCCTAAGAAAGGAAATCTACCACTTTGGCTTTGTCTGGCTTGAGCTCCTCACTCTCTACAATTTGATTCTTGTGCCTCTGACTCAGTGGGCCTGAGAACACTTCACTGTGCTCCAAGGCCCCCCTGTTAGCTCCATTTTCTTCCATTTGTTCCTGACCCTTTCAGAACTTCACTCCCACTCAAAACAAAACACAGAAAAAACTCAGCCATTAGAAGTTTTCATGAACAGCCAAACCTGATTAAAATTTCCAAAACAAAAGAAAAAAACCATGTCGATCTGTTTCTGCTGAATCTTTTTTTTTTTTTTCAAAGGGAGTTTTGCTCTTGTTGCCTAGGCTGCAGTGCAATGGCGCGATCTCAGCTCACTGCAACCTGCATCCCAGGTTCAAGCAATTCTCCTGCCTTAGCCCCCTGAGTAGCTGAGATTACAGGCATGTGCCACCACGCCCAGCTAATTTTGTATTTTTATTTTTAGTACAGATGGGGCTTCTCCATGTTGGTCAGGCTGGTCTTGAACTCCCAACCTCAGGTGATCCGCCCGCTTTGGCCTCCCAAAGTGCTTTTTTTTTTTTTTTTTTTGAGATGGAGTTTCGTGCCCAGGCTGGAGTACAATGGCAGGATGTCACCTCACTGCAACCTCCGCCTCCTGGGTTCAAGTGATTCTCCTGCCTCAGTCTCCCAAGTAGCTGGGATTACAGGCGCCCACCACCATGCCCAGCTAATTTTTGTATTTTTAGTAGAGACGAGTTTTCTCCATGTTGGTCAGGCTGGTCTCAAACTCCTGACCTCAAGTGATCCACCCGCCTCGGCCTCCCAAAGTGCTGGGATTACAGGCGTGAGCCACCGCACCCGGCCTTGAATCCTTTTCTATGAATTTTACTGCAGGAATCAGTGAAGGAGGGACCACAGCTTGTCATCTCCTTCAAGAATCCTGTTCTCTAATTTTTTTTTTGAGACAGAGTCTTGCTCTGTGGCCCAGGCTGGAATGCAGTGGCACAATCTTGGCTCACTGCAAGCTCTGCCTCCTGGGTTCACACCATTCTCCTGCTTCAGCCTCCGGAGTAGCTGGGACTACAGGCACGCACCACCACACCCGGCTAATTTTTTGTATTTTTAGTAGAGACGGGGGTTTCACCATTCACAGGATGGTCTCGATCTCCTAACCTTGTGATCCACCCGCCTCGGCCTCCCAAAGTGCTGGGATTACAGGCATGAGCCACCGCGCCTGGCCCCTGTTTTCTATTTTAATGATTAGTCTAGCCTGGATTGTAGTAAAAAATGATAGATGATAGATGATAGATAGATAGATAGATAGATATAGATAGATAGATAGATAGATAGATAGATAGATAGATAGATAGATAGATAGATAGATAGATAGATAGATAGATAGAACCTATACTCAAGGGTTCTACAGAGCATCAGACTCATTTTACCTCTCACCACGTTGTTACAAACTCTCTTCTCCAGACTTAGGGGAGGGACTCTTTGCAGGGCCATAGCAATACTGGGCTCCACGACAGCTGCCCCACTTTTGGGGCCTGTGAGGGGCTGACAGGCCAAATGAGGGGTTGCATGTGACTTCAGGGTTTTGATCACAAAACCACTCCTGTGATTTTCAAAGTTTTTCACACTGTTCTCTCTCTCTTTTTTTTTTCTTTGAGACAGAGTCTTGCTCTGTCACCAGGCTGCAGTGCAGTGGTGCGATCTCGGCTCACTGCAATCTCCGCCTCCCAGGTTCAAGCAATTTTCCTGCCTCAGCTTCCAGAGTAGCTGGGACTACAGGTGCCTGCCACCACACCCAGCTAATTTTTGTATTTTTAGTAGAGATGGGGTTTCACCATGTTGGCCAAGATGGTCTCAATCTCTTGACCTTGTGATCCGCCCGCCTCGGCCTCCGAAAGTGCTGGGATTACAGGCATGAGCCACGGCGCCCAACCACAACTGTTCTTATGAAAAACCAGAAGGAAGAAAAAAGCCTATTTTTTACCCCCCATTCTGGGAAAGAAGGCCTGAAAACTTCAGGGGATTCAGGGAAAGTATAGGCCAGGGAAGGTTCACTCTTACCCACTCCTTACACCTGTGGCAGCTGCCATCCCTAGTGGACTGGATTTTCATAGGCAAAAACCAGAAAACCTCAGGAATCACTCTGACAAGAGCAGAGGCCATTTACTGTGTAGCCTTAGCTAAGGAAACTCTTTTCCTTACCACTGCCCTGCAAAGTGAGCATTATTCTCATTTTACAGGTGTGGGGGCTGAGGTTCAGAGGCCAAGAAGCTTACACGCTCACGGAGCCAGGGAGTAGCAGAGCTGGGATCTGAATCCAGGAGCGTCTAATCCCAACACTCAAGACTTTTCCGTGAACCCATCCTGCTTCCCTTCCAAGTCTGCAAGGGAGGTCTGGATACAGGAGTTCCACATGGCATTGATGGTAGCTTCTGCATTTACTTAATTTATGTAACTTTCACTGAGCTAGTATAATACTGAGTACTAGGGACTGTTTCTTGAGCTTTACAAATACAACCTCATTTAAGCTTCGTTAACAGGTCTAGGGGTCTGTATCATTATCATCCTGTTTTACAAATAAGGAAATTGGCTGGACACAGTGGCTCACGCCTATAATCTCAGCACTTGGGGAGGCTGAAGCAGGCAAATTGCCTGAGCTGAGGAGTTCGAGAACACCCTGGGCAACATGGCGAAACCCATCTCTACTAAAAATACAAAAATTAGCTGGGTGTGGTGGTGCATGCCTGTAATCCCAGCGACTCGGGAGGCTGAGGCACGAGAATTTCTTGAACCTGGGAGGCGGAGGTTGCAGTGGGCCAACATAGCAAGCACCACTGCACTCCAGCCTGGGAGATAGAGCAAGACCCTGTCTCAAAAAAAAGGAAACTGCAGCACAGAGAGGTAAAGTAACTTGCTCTAGGTCACACAGGAAATAGTAGGGCTGGGAATTGGACCTCAGTAGTTTGGTTCTGAGAACATGTTTCCCACCTTCCCTGAAGTGCTATCCAGGAGGAGGAGGAAGCATACACATGGACGCATCACAAAGAAATTAGAAAGCAGCAAAGTGAAAATCCAAAGTCCATGGAAAAGAACCCACCTTTTGCCTGACTTGAGTGACAGGAGCCTGTGTTGGTGGGACTCATGTGCCTGGTGGTGTCATCACTGGGCCTGTAGCTAGTGTTGCTCTTCTCAGGGGGACAGCAGGAATCTTGTCCAAGTAGGCTCCTTGTCCCAACCATTTAGTGTGGCATGGGAAGAAGGCTTCTTTCTTTTTCACTTTACTTTCTTTTTTCTGAAATGGAGTCTCACGCTGTTGCCCAGGCTGGAGTGCAATGGTGCCATCTCAGCTAACTGCAACCTCTGCCTCCCAGGTTCAAGAGATTCTCTCACCTGTGCCTCCTTAGTAGCTGGAACTACAGGCACGCACCACCATGCCTGGCTAATTTTTGTATTTTTAGTAGAGATGGGGTTTTACCATGTTGGCCAGACTGGTCTCGAACCCCTGACCTCAGGTGATCCACCCATCTAGGCCTCCCAAAGTGCTGGGATTACAGATGTGAGACCTTGTGCCTGGCCGAAGGTTTCTTTCTTTACAACCTTTCCGATCTATGCTTCTTTCCAGTCCTGCCATTAAACCAAACCCTATCTGAGATAGAGGACCTTAAAAATCTGCCCCCACCAGATGATGATGGATTAATCCCCACCTCAGGACTGCTGTCCACCCTGCATTTCACCAGATGTAGATCAAGAAAGAGCAGCCACACTAACCACTTCTCAACCCCGTGCTGCATCTCCTCATCCTAACAGGCTCCTCTAACCAGTGTTTTGACTATTGCCTGCATCTGCAGCCACCTCCCAAATCTCCCAGATTCCTCCCTTTCTGGTGTTCAGCGCTAATGAAAGCCACAATAATTAAATGGAAATTGGAGTTTCTCAACCTAGAAAACATGCCATTTTTACAAAGGGAAATTTGGATGTCTTTGTGCTTTCCTTATTGGATTGTTTTGGAAGCAGTGTGGGGACAGGAGTGCTGGGAGCTAAATAGACAGAAAAGCACGAGCAAACTTTTAAAGATACCAGCTGGGTGCAGTGGCTCACACCTGTAATCCCAGCACTTTGGAAGGCCAAGGTGGGTGGATCACTTAAATCCAGGAGTTTGAGACCAGCCTGGCCAACATGGTGAAACCTCGTCTCTACTAAGAATACAAAAATTAGTGGGGTGTGGTGGTGCCCGCCTGTAATCCCTGCTACTCAGGAGGCAGGAGAATCGCTTGAACCCAGGAGGCAGAGGTTGCAGTGAGCTGAGATCGTGCCACTGCCCTCCAACCTGGGCGATGGAGTGAGACCCTGTCAGGAAAGGAAAGGGAAAGGGAAAAGGAAAGGAGAGAGAAAGACAGAGAGAGAGAAAGAAGAAAGAGAGAAGAAAGAAAAGAAAGAAAAAGAAAGAGAGAGAGGAAGGAAGGGAGGGAGGGAGGGAGGCAGGGAGGCAGGGAGGGAGGGAGGGAAACCAGTTCCAGCTAAGTGAGGACACAGGGAGAAGGCAGCCATCTATAAGCCAGGAAGAGAGCCCCATTAGAACCTGACCGTGCTGGCACCTTGATCTTGACGTGTGGTCTTCAGAACTAGTGAAGCTATACAACAGCAAATCATCAGGAAGGCATTCCATTTGGTATCTAAGAGGAAAATGTAGTTTCCTAGAAGGGGGATTTTGATATTAGTCTTTTTTTTTTTTTGAGATGGAGTTTTGCTGTTGCCCAGGCTGGACTGCAGTAGCGCGATCCTGGCTCACTGCAAGCTCCACCTCCCGGGTTCACGCCGTTCTACTGCCTCAGCCTCCTGAGTAGCTGCGACTATATGCGCCTGCCACTATGCCTGGCTAATTTCAATTTTTCGTATTTTCAGTAGAGACGGGGTTTCACCGTGTTAGCCAGGATGGTCTCAATCTCCTGAACTCGTGATCTGCCCGCCTTGGCCTCCCAAGTGCTGGGATTACAGGTGTGAGCCACTGGGCCCGGACTTTTTTTTTTTTTTTTCTTAAGACAGGGTCTCACTCTGTCTCCCAGGCTGGAGTACAGTGGCACCATCTCGATTCACTGAAACTTCTGCCTCCTGGGTTCAAGTGATCCTCCCACTTCAGTCTCCTGAGTAGCAGGGAGTACAGGCGTGTACCACCATGCCTAACTAATTTTATTTTATTTTTATATTTTTGGTTGAGACAAAGTTTCACCAAGTTTCCCAGGCTGGACTTGAACTCCTAAGCTCAAGTGATCTGCCTGTCTTAACCTCCCAAAATGCTGAGATTACAGGCGTGTGCAACTGTGCCTAGCCTCAATTGTTTTTTTTTTTTTTTTGAGAGGGAGTCTCACTCTGTTGCCCAGGCTGGAGTGCAGTGGTGGGATCTGGGCTCACTGCAACCTCTGCCTCCCGGGTTGAAGCGATTATCCTGCCTCAGCCTCCCGAGTAGCTGGGATTACAGGCTCCCACCACCATGCCTGGCTAATGTTTGTATTTTTAGTAGAGACAGGGTTTCACGGTGCTGGCTGGAGGTTGAACTCCCGACCTCAGGCGATCAGCCCGCCTTGGCCTCCCAAAGTGCTTGCTCACAGGTGTGAGCCACTGCGCCCAGCCCAAAATTCATTCTTAAAAGTCCAGTAGAGGCCGGACCCGGTGGCTCATGCCTGTAATCCCAGCACTTTGGGAGGCTGAGGCAGGCGAATCACCTGAGGTCAGGAGTTCGAGACCAGTCTGGTCAACATGGTGAAACCCCGTCTCGACCAAAAATACAAAAATTAGCCAGGCGTCGTGGTGCACACCTGTAATCCCAGCTACTCAGGAGACTGAGGCAGGAGAATCACTTGAACCCAGGAGGTGGAGGCTGCAGTGAGCCGAGATTGCGCCATTGCACTCCAGCCTGGGCAACAAAAGTGAAACTCTGTCTCAAAAAAAAAAAAAAAAAAAAAAAAATTAGCTGGCCGTGGTGCATGGGTGACAGAACGAGACTCCAAAAAAAAATTTTTTTTCAGTAAGAAAAGATAGATACATACATACATAAAGGGGTGTGTGTGAGAGAGAGAGAGAGAGAGTGAAAGAGAGGAAGCATGCTACAGTAAATGCTGTCAAAGAATCAGTTGGTGGATCTAGGACATAAAGAGGCTCATTAAGCGACTTTTCCATCTTTTTTTTTTTTTTTTGAGACAGAGTATTGCTCAGTTGCCCAGGCAGGAGTGCAAATGTGTGATCTTGGCTAACTGCAACCTCTGCCTCCGCGGTTCAAGCAATTCTCCTGTCTCAGACTCCTGCGTGGCTGGGATTACAGGCACCCACCATCATGCCCAACTAATTTTTGTATTTTTGTAGAGATAGGTTTCGCCATGTTGGCCAGGCTGTTCTTGAACTCCTGACGTCAGGTGATTCGCCCACCTCGGCCTCCCAAAGTGTTGAGATTACAGGTGTGAGCCACCGGGCCCGGCCATCCATCTTTTCTACATACTTAATATTTTTTAAAATTAAACGTTGGGGGAAAGTAAGGTGAATATTCAGAAGTGCAATTCATTGTGCTTTCTAGAGAACTGATAGCAAATAAATAGGGAATCATCTTCCCCTATCCTCAAAATAATACATAACACACACCATATTGTACATGGTATGGGGGGAGGATGTCACAACCTTGAAGGCCCTCCCATGGAAACCACAGAACCATCAGGACCAAGACCCGAGACTTTCCTGGCCTAACTTGAATTGCAGACAGCTCGCTGCAGCACAAGAGACTCTCCACAGTGTGATGGAACGCCTCCTTCCTTGTATTGATCTGGAACATGGCTCCTATTATCCAGGCACCTGAACCAGCCTCCTATCCCTTTGTATCTGCCCACCTGAAATGACACTTCCTCCATGGAGCCTGGTTTGAATTATTGGGTCTTTGTCGTTTGTCAGTTTGGCTTGGGGCTCTTGAGCCTAGGACTATGTGGTCATCTCCTCATTTCTGCCCTGTACACTGGGCAAGGCATCTTGCCTAGAGCAGGAAGGGGTTTAAAAATATGACTGAGGCCGGCAGGGCGTGGTGGTTTACGCCTGTAATCTCAGCACTTTGGGAGGCTGAGAAGGGTGGGTCACCTGAGGTCAGGAGTTCGAGACCAACCTGGCCAACATGGTGAAACTCCGTCTCCACTAAAAACAAAAATTAGCTACGTGTGGTGGCGCACGCCTGTAATCCCAGCCACTCAGGAGGCTGAGGCAGGACAATCACTTGAACCTGGGAGGCGGAGGTTGCATTGCGCCACTACACTCCAGCCTGGGCAACAAAGCGAGACTCCGTCTCAAAAAACAATAACAGCAACGAAAAATAAGACAAAAAAGGTATCCGCCCTTTACCTTCACCCACAAATAAAGTAGTGAAACAAATAAATAGTGAGACAGAATAAAATTAATTAATTAATGGGGAAAACAGAATTAATGAAGTAAAATTAATGGGCCGGGCGCGGTGGCTCACGCCTCTAATCCCAGCACTTTGGGAGGCGGAGACGGGCGGATCACGAGG